TGATCCACCCGCCTCAGCCTCCCAAAGTGCTGGGATTACAGGCGTGAGCACCACACCTGGCCCTGGGTATACTTCAGATTAGCCTGCTGCCCTAGAGTATATCCAGGAAAGTGTGAAGGAGAGAAGATAAACTGGGCTGACATAAAGCAGTGCTAATTGAATACTTGGATAAGAATCTCCTGATAGAACAGGATGCAGGAAGATACTGGAGTCAGGAGCTTGATCCATAGCAGCAGGAGACCCTGATGTGGAAGATGGTACAACTTGATCAGAGTGAAAGACTGAAGATTATGTTGGAATTCTCCAGAAGGCTAGATTTTGCATAGAATGTTGTCATGACAATTTACCAAGGTCGGAGAAGATTGGGTTGGAGTGTTCCAAGAATGCTGGATTGGAATGTTGTGCTGGGAGGAGCTAACGGACTGGAATGTCGCATCAGGGCTGACAAAGACCTGAGAAAGGTGGTTTTCCAGCATTTCTTCTCAGAGCTAGCCTCCGGGGTTTGGGAAAGGGGCTTTAGAGGTCACTGAGGGATATGAGGGACTGGAGGAAGTGATAAGCAGGCCAAGCAGCTTCCAGTCTCCCAGCGAAACAAGGTATGTCCGGTTTGCTCTGTCCTACCTATTTGCTCACCATGTGAAATTGCCTTGAAGGAAAAGCAAGGGTTCCGGTGCTGAGTCAGCCAGTCCTTGCATTAGAGGGTGCTCCGTCTTTGGGATATGTGGAGGCTTAGGAACCTGGTTCTGAGGAGCAGCCAAGTCTGGGGTTTGTTCCCAACTGGTGGTTCTCTGCTCTCTCTGCCCCCAGCTGCCTGTGTCAGGGAATCTGATTGATGTGTACAGTAGTCAAGGCGTGGCCACGCCAGCCATCACTGTCAGCAACTCCTGCCCAGCTGAGCTGCCTAACATCAAACGGGAGATCTCCGGTAGGTGATAGGGTCTTGGTCCCATGGCCCTATGCTTTACCCAGGTGAGCCCTGTGCCTACCAGGCCTAGAGATGGGCCTGATTCTGGGGGGGGTGGTTTGGACATAAAGAAATGGGGCTGTTTATCCCCTTTCCCCATATGACCTGTGATCTTATTTTTACCCCACTTCCTCTCACTTTCTCTCCTCTTGGATTTAACAACCAGCCTATCATCACAACTTAAAATAGTAAAAAGAGAAGCGCTTTTTAAAAAAGGCATTTCCGGCTGGGCGTGGTGGCTCACGCCTGTAATCCCAGCACTTTGGGAGGCCGAGGCAGGAGGATCACCTGAGGTCGGGAGTTCAAGACCAGCCTGACCAACATGGAGAAACCCCGTCTCTTAAAAAAAAAAAAAGCCGGGCGCGGTGGCTCACGCCTGTAATCCCAGCACTTTGGGAGGCTAAGGTGGGCGGATCACCTGAGGTTAGGAGTTCGAGACCAGCCTGACCAACATGGAGAAACCCCATCTTTTAAAAAAAAAGACATTTGCCCTGCTTTCAGCTACCAAACCCTACTTTAGCATCTGCATGTGTTTCTTTCCTTCCCATGCCCAGAGGCCCTGACCACTCTACTCTTTTCCAGAGACCGAGGCAAAGGCCCTTTTGAAGGAACGGCAGAAGAAAGACAATCACAACCTAAGTAAGCCAGAGAGCATGTGCATTGCCCCAGTGCTGTGCAGCCCTGCCTCGTCCTGCATCCCGGCCCGCCATGGGGAACCCCTTCCCTGCAATAGCCTCCTGACTCCTACTTTCTGTCTCTTCTCTTCTTGGCTAATTGACAACTCTTTTCCCACTCTTTCTTCCTCTCCTCCCTGCTCCAAAGTTGAGCGTCGCAGGCGATTCAACATTAACGACAGGATCAAGGAACTGGGCACTCTCATCCCTAAGTCCAGTGACCCGTGAGTCTGGGCTGGGACCCTCAGGCCAGCGGGAGGTGGGGCAGGTGTCCCATGCTACTAAAGTTGTGCCTTGGTGGGCTTACCAGGCAGTCTTGGCCCAGGCATTTCTCTTCTGTCTCGTTCTTTCTCAGCCTGAGCAGGGTTGCAGACACTCACTGTGTCAGCACCTAAAATTTTAGGCACATAATATTATGGTCTGTGTACCCCATCTGGTCCCCGTAGGATATATGCCCCTACTTTTCTGTTCACTTAGTACTTCCTTTTTTTTTGAGATGGAGTCTTGCTCTGTCACCCAGGCTGGAGTGCAGTGGTGCAATATTACTTCCCTTATTTTTTCAAGATTTGTTTATTGGCTGGGCACAGTGGTTCAAGCCTGTAATCTCAGCACTTTGGGAGGCCGAGGCAGGTGACTCACCTGAGGTCAGGAATTTCAGAGTAGCCTGGCCAGCATGGTGAAACCCCGTCTCTACTAAAACTAAAATTAGCTGGGCATGGTGGTGGGCACCTGTAATCCCAGCTGCTTGGGAGGCTGAGGCGGAAGAATCGCTTGAACCCAGTAGGCGGAGGTTGCAGTGAGCCGAGATTGTGCCACTACACTCCAGCCTGGTGACTAAGCAAGACTCCATCTCAAAAAAAAAAAAAAAAAAATATATATATATATATATATATATTGAGCCTCTGGTTTGTGCCAGGTACCGTATTAGGCCCTAAAGATACCAGAGGGGACAAAACAGACGTCATGAAACTAATGTTTTAGTGGGGGCAGACAAATGTTAATAAGTAAACATCCACGAGATTCATTAGGATGAGTATTATGAAAATAAAGACTGGAAGGAAAACGGGAGAATGCTGGGGAGGGTTACTGTTTGGGGTAAGGAAGGTGAGGACAGGGCAGGCCCCAACTGACGAGGAAACGTTTGAATAAAGAGCCTATGGAGGCAAGGCAGGGAGCCACATGGGTGTCTGCGGGGAAGAGTATTCAAGGCAGAGGGTGCAGCTGGGATTGAGGCCCTGAGTTGGGAATGGTTTTCCATATTCTAGGAGCACTGAGAGGCTGACATGGCTGTAGTAAGATCAATCGGAGGGACATAGGGAAGACAAGAATCCTAAGGGGTCAGGTCAGAAATGGCTTCCAGGATTTGGAGTGTGATGGGGCACCGTTGGAAGATTCCAGGCAGGAAGTTTTCCTCTGGGCACTCCATACCTTTGATGGACCCCGGCCTCATGTTCTAGGCATGTGGTGGGGGGCTCCTACCTGGTGCACTTCCCACCTCAGCTCCTGAGAAACCCCTCGTGTGGCATCTCCCATTTGCCCCCTGCTTGGGCCCCACAGGGAGATGCGCTGGAACAAGGGCACCATCCTGAAGGCCTCTGTGGATTATATCCGCAAGCTGCAGAAGGAGCAACAGCGCTCCAAAGACTTGGAGAGCCGGCAGCGATCCCTGGAGCAGGCCAACCGCAGCCTACAGCTCCGAATTCAGGTCTGAAAAGAGGAGATGGTGGTGGGGGAAGCAGGGGAGAGCTTCCTGCAGGTGGAGGCAGGCAGAGAGAGAGCAGGCCAGGGTTTCCCTTCCTGGCACACTTGGGGGATCCCCAGGCTTCCCAACTCACACGATGATGATAATGATAAGTAATCATAATATTAACAAGGATAATATTATTGCTAATGTACATAGCATTTATCTTGTGCTATGTACTGTGACAAGAACTTTATATCCATTAACTTCTTCAATCCTCACAACTCTATAAGATAGGAGCCATTATTATATACCCACTTTACAATTTGCAACTCTGAAGCTTCAGAGATGTTAACTAAAGTTTTGCAACTAGTGAGTAGCAGAAGCTGAATTCCAACCTGGGGAACCTGCCCATTTCAACCTTTACGCTCCTCTGTCTCTGAGGAACTCTGAACCTTACTTATCCTGCACCCAACCCCTGTTTTTCACAGGAGCTAGAACTGCAGGCCCAGATCCATGGCCTGCCGGTACCTCCCACCCCAGGGCTGCTCTCCCTGGCCACGACTTCGGCCTCTGACAGCCTCAAGCCAGAGCAGCTGGACATTGAGGAGGAGGGCAGGCCAGGCGCAGCAACGTTCCATGTAGCGGGGGGACCTGCCCAGAATGCTTCCCATCAGCAGCCCCCCGCACCGCCCTCGGATGCCCTTCTGGACCTGCACTTTCCCAGCGACCACCTGGGGGACCTGGGAGACCCCTTCCACCTGGGGCTGGAGGACATTCTGATGGAGGAGGAGGAGGGGGTGGTGGGAGGACTGTCGGGGGGTGCCCTGTCCCCACTGCGGGCTGCCTCCGATCCCCTGCTGTCTTCAGTGTCCCCTGCTGTCTCCAAGGCCAGCAGCCGCCGCAGCAGCTTCAGCATGGAGGAGGAGTCCTGATCAGGCCTCACCCCTTCCCTGGGATTTCCCCACCCAGGAAAGGAGGATGAGTCAGGATAAGGCCCTGCCTTTTCCCCCACCCTCCCATGAGACTGCCCTGCCCAGGTATTCTGGGGGAAGAGGAGATGTGATCAGGCCCCATCCCTGTAATCAGGCAAGGAGGAGGAGTCAGATGAGACCCTGCACCTTCCCCAAAGAAACTGCCCAGTGCAGGTATTTCAGAAGGAGAAGGCTGGAGAAGGACATGAGATCAGGGCCTGCCCCCCACCTCCCTGGGGATCACAGCCTCACCCCTGCCCCTGTGGGACTCATCCTTGCCCAGGTGAGGGAAGGAGACACAATGAGGCCTCGCCCCTGTCCCCTAGGGACTGTCCTAGCCAGGTCTCCTGGGAAAGGGATATGTCAGGATGAAGCTCCATCCTTTGTCTTGGAACCACCAGACTAGTCCATCCTGGCACAGAAGAGGAGTCAAGTAATGGAGGTCCCAGCCCTGGGGGTTTAAGTTCTGTCCCTTCCCCATGAACCCTGCCCTGCCCTGCCCAGGCAAGGAACAGAAGCGAGGATGAGACCCGGCCCCTTCCCCTGGGAACTCTCCTGGCCTTCGAGGAATGGAGGAGCCAGGCCCCACCCCTTCCCTATAGGAACAGCCCAGCACAGGCACTTCAGGTGTGGAATTATCAGTAGGACCAGGCCACCGCAGGACGTGGAGATCACAGCCCCACCCTTGTCCCTCAGCAACACCCCATCTAAGCATTCCACACTGCAGGGAGGAGTGGCACTTAAGCTCCCCCGCCTTAACCTGGGACCAATCTGACCTAACCTAGGAGAGCTCTGAGCTAACCTTGCTGTTGGGGAAGGGGACAGATGATGAAATTTCATGGGTGAATTTTCCAGACCTAGATCTGGAGTGAGAGTTAGACCCCCACCCTTGGGCAGAGTTCTGCCTTCTTACTTGAGGGGCAGTTTGGGAAGGTGATGGGGATTAGTGAGGGACTGGGTCCAGGTTACCAGAACCAGTACCCCAGTATTCTTTTTCAACATGTAGAACAACAGGATGAAGGAAGGGGCTATCCTGGGAGCTCCCCAGCCCAGGAAAATCTGGAAGCCTTCCCCCAGCAAGGCAGAGGCTTGGAGGAGGGTTGTAAAAGCATATTGCACCTCTTCATTTGTTTATCTGAATTTTTTATTGTTTCCCATACTGCGAATCTAGGTCACCTCAACCTCTGTCCCCCACCCAGTTCTTCATTTGGAGGAATCACCCAAATGATTTCAGAGTTATCAAGAGACACTCCCCCCGCAATTCCCACCCCTCATACCTACACCCAAGGTTGTCAGCTTTGGATTGCTGGGGCAAAGCCCCAGGGAGGGTATACTGAGGGGTCTATAGATTTGTGATTAAAATAATAAAAGCTAGGCGTGTTTGATGCGCTTTTAACTTTGGCAAAGCGTCTCCTATCCTTGATTTTCACTGTGCAGTGAACATGGCTCATGCAGGCCAAGAGGGATAAAAGTCCTTGGGAGAAACAGATTCCAGAAGGATGGGTGAAATGATTTAGAAAGGAAGAGGGCGTGGAGGAAGACAATATGCAAACAAAAGTCATTAGTCTTTTTAAAGACCAATCACCAGACACCATTTTAACTGACACAAGTGTTTTATCTAATTTATTTCTCTAAAGGGATGTTAGAAAATGCTGCTGCTTTTTTTTTTTTTCTTTTTTTTTAAAGATGGGGTTTCACCATGATGGCCAGGTTGGTCTTGAACTCCTGACCTCAGGTGATCCACCCACCTCGGTCTCCCAAAGTGCTAGGATTATAGGCATGAGCAACCGCAACCGCGCCTGGCGGAAAATGCTGCTTCTTACTCCCATTTGGTCTTTGAAGAAGCTGATGAATACAATTGAACTGTTCTGAAGATATGCAAGCCTGTAAATGGATGAGGGCTCTGGATTGAAAAATGCCTGCCGCTAAGGGCAGAGGGGGAAAGAAGATTTTCTTGCAAATCCACTTTTGAAACTGATAAGGATGTCTATGAGGATATTTCCTGGCAGACAACAGAGGTATTCAAGATGGTGGAGAGGACAAAGACAAATATCTGAAAGGCAGAGGAACAGGCAGCCAACTGAATTTTAGAATAGAGATTGAGATTTTGGGAGAATTTAAATGAGCACAAGTATCTTTTTGAAGGTTGGGAAAAAGGATTTTTCTCACAATTTCTCAACCAGAACGAGCATCAGGCCTGGTCCCTGCATTTCCCCAACCAGGCCTCTGAGGGCTGGACCCAGGATTGGTCACCGTGACTCCCCCAGACTGTGACCGCCATACTTGCTATCTTTTCTTTTTTTTTGAGACAGAGTCTCACTCTGTCGCCCAGGCTGGAGTGCAGTGGCGCTATCTTGGCTCACTGCAACCTCCACCTCCCGGGTTCAGGTAATTATCCTGTCTCAGCCTCCCAAGTAGCTGGGATTACAGGCACGTGCCACTGTCACCCAACTAATTTTTGTATTTTTAGTAGAGATGGGGTTTTACCATGTTGGCCAGGATGGTCTTGAACTCCTGACCTCAAATGATCCACCCACCTTGGCCTCCCAAAGTGCTGGGATAATGGGTGCGAGCCACCGCACCCAGCCTCGGTCTCCCACAGGTTTTTGGGTTTTTTGTTTGTTTGTTTGTTTGTTTGTTTTGTTTCTTTGTTTTTGCTCTTGTTGCCCAGGCTGGAATGCAATGGCACGATCTCAGCTCACCACAACCTCCGCCTCCCGGGTTCAAGCGATTCTCCTGGCATAGCCTCCTGAGTAGCTAGCTGGGACTACTGGCATGTGCCACCATGCCCGGCTAGTTTTATGCTTTTGGTAGGGACAGGGTTTCTCCATGTTGTTCAGGCTGATCTCGAACTCTTAGGTGATCCAACCACCTCGGCCTCCAAAAAGTGCTGGGATTACAGGCATGAGCCACTGTGCCTGGCCTCCCAGAAGTTTTTAAAAGGTTTTTCTGAAGTAATTTTAGATTTACAGAAGAGTTACATCACCATTAGTGAGCTTCCATACCTGTCACCCACCTTCCCCTAACGTTAACATCCTACATAACCGTGGCATGTTTATCAGTGCTAAGAAAATAACATTGGTAGAGTACTATTAACTCAACTTCAGACTTTATTTGGATTTCACTGGCTTTTCTGCTAATGTCTTTTCTGTTCTAGGATCCAAGTAAGGATGCCATACTAGTTATTCCTGTGAAACAAATGACCACAGTCTTAGCTGCTCTAACAACACACATAAATTATCTCTTGGGTTTTGTGAGTCAGGAATCCAGGCTGGGTTCAGCTGGGTCCTCAGCGTCAGCGTTTCTCACTAAGGCACAATCAAGGAAGGAATTGGTCAGGATTGAGGACTTCTCTGAATGTGTGACCAGGAAAGGATCTACTATGTGCTCCCATAGTTGTTAGCAGCATTCGGTTCTCTGCATCCTGTTGGACAGAGGGCCCCAGTTCCTCGCTGGCTGTCAGCCAGAGGTGCCCACCATCCACACCACGTGTGCCTTCCCATGTGGTGGCTCACAGCATGGTAGTTTGCTTCATCCAAGCCAGTGAGAGAAAGAGTTGGCTAGTAAAACAGAGATTCCATCTCTTGTAATCTAATTATGGAAGTGATATCCCCTCAAGGTTGAGACATTCTGTCACCTGGAAACAAGTTACTGAAGGGGGGGGGATTAGAGAAGACCAAGAACATAGCAGGCAGGGAGCACTGGTTGGGGGCATCTCAGAAGGCACCAACCACAGATATGTTGCACTAAGTGGTCCTGTCTTCTTGGTTTTTGCTGACAGTTTCTCAGTCTCTCCACTGAGAAGTCCTATAAATCGTGCTATTCCAGAAACAATGAGCACATCTAGCAGCCAGATCTTTCTAAATGCCATTCTCCAATGAAAGGAACCAGGGCTCCTGGGAAAATGGCTGATTTTCAGGCTGTGGCAGAGAGAAAGGCAAGATGAGCCTGGAGCATCCTGTAGTGACAGAAAGTAAGGAAGTGTCTAAAAACAATGATGGCAGTCGCGGTGGCTCATGCCTGTAATCCCAGCACTTTGGGAGGCTGAGGCGGGTGGATCACCTGGGGTCAGGAGTTTGAGACTGGCCTGGCCAAAATGGTGAAACCCTGTCTCTACTAAAAATACCAAAAATTAGAGCCGAGCATAGTGGCTCACGCCTGTAATCCCAACACTTTGGGAGGCCGAGGCAGGTGGATCACAAGATCAGGTGTTTGAGGCCAGCCTGGCCAACATGATGAAACCCCGTCTCTACTAAAAATACAAAAATTAGCTGGGCATGGTGGCGGGTGCCTGGGGTGCTTGTAATCTCAGCTACTCAGGAGGCTGAGCCAGGAGAACCGCTTGAACCCTGGAGGGGGAGGTTACAGTGAGCTGAGACCTCACCACTGCACTCCAGCTTGGGTGACAGAGCAAGACTCTGTCTCAAAAAAAAAAAAAAAAAAAAAAAAAAAAAAAAAAAAAAAAAACCACCAGGTGTCGTGGCTGGCACCTGTAATCCCAGCTACTTAAGAGGCTGAGGCAGGAGAATTGCTTGAATCAGGGAGGCCGAGGTTGCAATGAGCCAAGATCACACCATTGCACTCCAGCCTAGGCAACAAGAGCAAAACTCCGCTTCAAAAAAAAAAAGAGAGAGATGGCAGCATGTCATAAAATACAGAAGCCAACCTGAAAGAGCTCCCAGCCAGGTGCGGTGGCTCAGGCCTGTAATGCCAGCACTTTGGGAGGCCGAGGGGCGGATCACGAGGTTAAGAGATCAAGACCATCCTGGCCAACATGGTGAAACACCATCTCTACTAAAAATACAAAATTTATCTGGGCGTGGTGGTGCATGCCAGTAGTCCCAGCTGCTCGGGGTGGCTGAGGCAAGAGAATCGCTTGAACCTGGGAGGCAGGGTTTGCAGTAAGCCGAGGTCTCACTGCGCTCCAGCAGCCTGGCGACAGAGTGGAACCTTCTCAAAAAAAAAAAAAAAAAAGGCCGGGCGTGGTGGCTCACGCCTGTAATCCTAGCACTTTGGGAGGCTGAGGTGGGTGGATCACCTGAGGTCAGGAGCTCAAGACCAGCCTGGCCATCATGGTGAAACCCCATCTTTAAAAAAAAAAAAAAAAAAAAAGAAAGAAAGAAAGAAAGAGCTCCTCCCAGTGGCCAAAGCTGGAACAACTTGAGCAAGAATAACGAAAAGGATATTATAGCCCAAACAATGAACATTTATGATTCCATATTTATTTATATAAGTGATATGATTGAATAAATAAATGCTGAGAGCCAGGTGAGGTGATGTGCGCCTAAAGTCCCAGCTACTTGGGAGGCTGAGGCAGGAGGATGACTTGAGTCCAGTAGTTTGAGGCTGTAATGCACCATGATCACTCCTATGAACAGCTCCTGCACTCTAGCCTGAATGACACAGTGAGACACTGTCTCTAATAAATACACGAATGCAGCTGGGTGCGGTGGCTTGCCTATAATCCCAGCACTTTGGGAGGCCGAGGTGGGCGGATCACCTGAGGTCAGGAGTTAGAGACCAGCCTCACCAACATAGTGAAACCCGGCCTCTACTAAAAATACAAATTTAGCTGGGTGTGGTGTCGCATGCCTGAAATCCAAGCTACTCGGGAGCCTGAGGCGATCGAGCCATTGCACTTCAGCTGAGCAACAAGAGCAAAACAGGCGTGGTGGCTCACCCCTGTAATCCAAGCACTAAAGGCCAAGGCGGGCGAATCACCTGAGGTCGGGAGTTCAAGACCAGTCTGACCAATATGGTGAAACCCTGTCTTTTAAAAAATAAAAATAAAAAGAAGGAATGGCTGAGGTGGGAGGATTGCTTGAGCTCTGGAGTTCAAGACCACCCTAAGCAACATAGTGAAACCTGTCTCAAAAAATATTATTGGGCCGGGTGTGGTGGCTCACGCCTGTAATCCCAGCACTTTGGGAGGCCGAGGCAGGTGGATTACCTGAGGTCAGGAGTTCGAGACCAGTCTGACCAACATGGTGAAACCCCGTCTCAAAAAAAATAAATAAATAAATAAAAATAATAAAAAATACCATTATAGGCCAGGCGAGGTGGCTCACGCCTGTAATCCCAGCACTCTGGGAGGCCGAGGCAGGTGGGTTACCTGAGGTCAGGAGTTCGAGACCAGTCTGACCAACATGGTGAAACCCCGTCTCAAAAATAAATAAATAAATAAAAATAATAAAATAATAAAAAATACTATTATAGGCCAGGCGAGGTGGCTCACGCCTATAATCCCAGCACTTTGGGAGGCCAAGGCTGGCGGATTACTAGATCAAGAGATCAAGACCATCCTGGCCAACACAGTGAAACCTCATCGCTACTAAAAAAAGAAAATACAAGAATTAGCTGGGCGTGGTGGTGCGCACCTGTAGTCCCAGCTACTAGGGAAGCTGAG